ACAAAGAAACTCAATTCACATGCAGAATCAACTTGAGCAGTCCAGAATGAGAGTATTACCCAATAATCATCAAGAATCAAGAATCGATGCACAATAACATCCAATCACAAATGTAATGCAATATATCTACAATAATTGATTTGAAATAGTCAAAAGAAATAAAGGGGAAAATCAAATCAAATCAAATCAACTTACCCCAGTCAAGTTGAACAGGGAAAATCAAACAACCCACTCAAGAAACTAAGAACCCAACAAATCAGCACCAGATTGCAAGTTCAGAGTTGTATCACAAAGTCAAGTCTCAAGCTGACATCAAGTCACAAAGATGTATCTCAGATAAACACCAAGGTCGAAGTCGACCCTCGAAATGCAAGCCAAAAAACAGGTCAGAACAAATGGCAATTTGTAGCTAGTGCTCGTAATATCGAATCCATATCAAAGTCTCAAAGCACTATTTTGAAATTACAATGGCCAAATTGACTCTAGGGAAGTCAAAGCTAGGGCTAAAGTCAAGATATGTTCTGTAATTCTGAACTAGATTCAAGATTCAACATCAATTGCCAAGATAGAGGTTACGAGTCGAAGTCGAAGTTGCCCAACTAGGTTCAAAGTTCCCACGAGATGGTTCGAACAAGAACGCCACTCAATTATAAAGCCACAATAGTCAGTTCGCAATCAAAATGACTCTCAATGCAACTAGAGTTACAATCAAATGCAGAAGATCATCTCAGTCACCAACCCAAGTATAATCGAAATAGGAATCCAAGGTAAATCTATCCCTAATTGCTATATTGGAATTATGATTGGAAGAATTATGGAAATTCCATAGCTCTGATACCAAAAGGATGGAGCCAAATCAAGAAATGGATTTAATTAGAAAGAAAATCTCTGAATAGAGATACAAGAGCTCTCAGCTCTAAAAATACAATCTCAAATATCACAAACTGAATACTAGAGAGCTATTACTTGGACTCGGGGTACGGCGTCAAACTCGGGTACATGTCTAGAGGTCAGATTCGTATATTCTCCTAATTATAAGATACGGGGACACAACTAAAAAGTATCCAAAATTAGATATAGATATGGGGACACGACACATAAAACATTGGACAACCATATTTGCAAAATACTTAGCATTATTTTTTATTTTGATAATGTACTTTTTCCATTTACCAATTTTCATGGTTGTTTTTGGTAAAATAATTCATATAATTTACATTTACCAAGAATTTTTAATAAAATATAAGCAAAAAACTAAACATAATATAACAGAAGCACAAAGTTGCCACATGTGACAACATATTTGTATCAGCCAACCCATAGGCTTCCCAACATTTAATCTTAAATAATAAAGATGGTATATAGTTGTCTATTGCAATGGAAGTACTGATATGCCATACAGCTATAATTTGTAACAATGTTCTCTTTTTTATTTTGCTTTCTGAGGCAAGACATGTGTATGGACAAGATTGAATCTATTAAGTGGATAAGTGAGATAAATATCTCATTCCACTCATACTCATCCAAATCGTAGTCCACTGTACAAGCGTCTTCTATAACCAAATAACGAGGGCAATCAATTCCAGTGTTGAAGAAGATGATGCAAGAACCAGTTTCACTTCTAGCAACGTCAATCGTTTTCTAGGTTACTCGATCACCAACCTTTTAACCTATCTTCGCTCCTCAAAGAACAATCGTGTCCATCCAAGTAGCTGTTGTGTCCAACTAAGATCTTGTACCTGTGTTCGTGTCGCATCATGTCGACACAAGTACTTCCCCCAAAACTGCCGAGTCCATGTAACACAACTAGAGGGGCCTTACCACCTATTTATTTATAGATAAAGAAAACCTAACTATCAACTTCTTTACATTCACAAACGTCAACTTCCTCATAAGCCAACACCTCACTATCGTCATCACAGATGGCGACATCTTGATCGTAGTCTTGTTCCTCATCTTGATCAAAGATGGGAAAATCTCCGTCACAAACAGAAAGAGCCTGACCACAATCTTGTTCTTGGCCACAATCTTCCTTCATGTTTTCTTCACCAAAGATAAAAGCTTCTTTCTCATCATATCTTGGTTCAAAAGTTTCTTGCACTCCAACACTAGTTGAATATTCGACTTGGACATAGTCATAGGATGGTTATCCAATTGCAAAGCCGCTTTGGTATTGATGTCCGGAATTTGAAATGCCATTCTTTTGTTGCTTCACAATCAACAAAGGTGGCACGTGATTAGAAGGCAAGAAGTGCTCCTTGAACTTTTTCCTCATCTTCTTCCACTCTTTAACATTTCCTTGGTTGTTTCTTTGCCAACCAACTTGTAATTGTTTCCACCAATTGAAGGCATCACCTTTGAGACTTTGAGAGACCAATTTCACCTTCTTTGCTTCCGGCACATCATAAAAATCCAAATGATTCTCAATTGTCTTCAATCATTCCTCAAACACATCCGGATTGTAGCTTTCACGAAATTCAAGAAACTCGAAATCCTTGATGAAGTAATTCCATTTAGAATACAACCTATGTGAATGTGCTCTACGCCTATGCGGAGCATCAAAGGAATCATTAAGTTGACGATCCTTGAAACCATTACTACCTTCGTTAGGAGGTAGGAGACGTACCGTCTCGGTTAAAACGACAATTTGCCATCTCATCCCTTTGATATGGAACCCCATTATCCTCGACATCATCACACACAAATCCGAGGCATAAGCCTGACCACAACCACCCTTACAACCTCGTTGAGCCATTGAAATCCCCAAATGTGCAAAGTCACAATAAGCACAAACCCAATTTAATCAATAGTTGAAGAACAATAACAGACAACCCAAACAGTCCTAATCAATTCCCAAAAGCAGGTTCAAAAATTAAATCAAGAATTAGATGCCCAAATCACGAATTGAAGGCATAGAGAATTGATACTTAGATGCCCAAATCAGGAATGAAAGGCATAAGAGAATTGATACTCCGGCTACTGAAATGGATTCAACATATGAAGGATGGAGGAATCGAATCACTTACCTAACAAAGGCGAGTCAGATAATCGTGTCCAGAAACAAGGAGTCTTCCAAACACAATTCAAAATCTAGGTTGCAAGCAACTTCAACAATTTCAAATCAGAAAATCCCGTTTCAGGGCTGCAAAACAATTCGCAAGTTTAGATGAGGGCTTTGAATAGAGTGAATCGCACAAGTGTGCGAAGTCCAACATGAGTTGCAATGAAGATTCGTTGGTCGCAACTGAGTTATGACCAAATTGAGATGTCCAGATTGAATTTCAAAGGCCGCGATGTTTGAAACAAGAACGAACTGAAATCACAAGACAAGTTTGATTTCGATTCAACAGAACAAACTCAACACAGATAGATCAAGTCGATGTGCAAAGTCAATTGATCGAACTCAGGAACCGAAGGACAGTTCGAAGTCAATTGGCAAAGTCGATCGAAGAAATCAAAACCTAATAAACTATTGTCAACTCTGAGTGATCAATTGGAAAAAAAACCCTGATTGCAAACCCAGAAAACGTGTCGAACTGAGATTTTGGAGATTCAGATCCAGGTATTCAATCGAGACCAAATTTGAGGCTTGCAATGAATCACAATGTTTTGAATAAGCCATGAATTGAAATCTTGAACCAACCCAGAAAGAGTTTCAATTCATAAGCATAACCCAGGAAGAGTTTGCAAGTTGCAAAATCAAATCACAATCATTGGTTCGAAATCGCAAATAAGGGTTGGGTGTGAACTTGCGAAGTCGCACTTCAACAAGGATCCAGATTTACGAACTGAGAACTTCAAGTTTAGCGAGAAACCAAAACACAAACTACGAACCAAGAGACAAAGTCAAATTTGAAGTGCGAAATTGAAGATGCAAAGCTGTGTGACAAAGTTGAACTTCTTGTATCTCAACAACAACAAAGATTTGAACATCAAATTAGGTGTGTAAGTCATACAAAATCGAAATAGATGATGAATTTAACCAGAATCTGAGATGTTAGGATCCAATTTTGAAGCTTTGAAACCAAAATGACAGGTCCAATCAAGAACTCAGAGAGGAACCCTAAGGGGTTCTAGAGAGAGAATATCTCAATCAATTAATGTTCATATATCAAAGTTAGTTACAAACTTTGCCACAGTAGTTTATCAACTCCACCGGTTCCAAACCCCGATAAAGGAGGAGGGTTGTGTGTTAGGTAGCTGACAACCAATATGTAAAAAGTCCGCTCAGATCCCTTATGAACATGAATCCTCCTTGAACCGAATGGAGAAGAAGGATTCATGTAGCCAATCCCATTTTATGGGACTTAAGGCTTTGTTTGGTTTGGTGGTTTATCAAAATTAGTTACAAAATCGTTATTACTTCCCTAGATATAGGCTAACAACTACCCATCACTAGCTATCACATGCCAAGTACATGATATCCTACATCACACAGGCGCTCAGTAAGGAGTTTTTCGCAGGTGCACCACGGTTAATTCAAGGGTTTTTTCCCAATCCGATGGCCCCAAAGAATTGTTAGCACCTAAGAGGTTTCAATCCCTAAACCTTAGAGCGAACACACCCCCAAGACCCAAGCCCTTGCCACTAGGCCAATCCCTTGGGGTTTGTGCGGTATAATTATCTTTAATTTGATAATATTTTGAACATAGTTAACATGACCAACCCCAGGTTATTCAGTTTAGTTTGTTTAGATAATACAAATACAGAAACTTTGTAATGAATGCAAATAGGGAAATTTTTGTAATGGATACTTAGGTTTCAATCAGCTTATTGCACAACCAAGAAATCTCTCAACATTAATTAAGACGACAATAATACAAAAGTAGTAAACAGTAGAATCATCATTTTTTTATGAGTAAACAATATTATCAAATTTAACTTAAGCAATTCTCACATGGCTCACCTAAAATTATTTAAGCTGGAAAATAAATAAAGTAAGATTGACCCAAAAATCTACAGGCAACCATCCAACAGAGCAAGAAGGATTTGATTTTCACCTTCAACCGTTGTAAACTGGTTGTGGGTGGATCCGCAATGGATTTGAAAATCTTAGCTGATGATCCTTCCTGACATGCCAGTTTCTGTAGCACTTGTAACTTGTCCATCCATGGTTTTTTCTCTGCAAAAGTAATTTAGGAGTAATGTCAAATACAGAATGGTAATTAAACTGGTGCACTTAAACATTTGACCAACACTACCAATGGTAAGAGTTGATAAAAATCTGTTTTCCAAAGCAATCATATGACAAAGGTTACTTGTTGTGGGCATGGGTAGAAGATGACAGAGAAGGCAGTTGCAGAGAATGGCATAGGTATATAACTCAATTCACAGTGCTCACCTTCAAAAAAGGTACTGGGTGCGACGAAATCAAACCTGAAAGTGAAAATGAAGAGAGACACACACAAAAACATAATAAGATTTGATTGATTAATGGCTCCATAAATAGATCGAGAGAGAGAGAGATAGAAGAATGCCTGAGAGCGTCGAGAACAATGATAACAAGGCGATCAATGACCGGTTTTGTCCAGCAAGACTGGTCAGGGTTGAGATTTGGATGGCGAGGAGAAGCATAGGAAGGAGGATGAGGTTGGAGGCAGGGGGATTGGCAAACATCGGAGCAATTGCTGTAATGGGGAAGCTCAGTTCTGGTGAGGAGAAAGCCTCTGGTGAAAAACAGAATGCCCACACAATGAAGCAACAGAATTAGGATGAAGACGGACGACAGCGGCCATTCCCTCATCCTCCATTGCACACCATCCATTCCTTAAACTGGTCGCAAAGACCAACAAGATGATTAAACATCAATCCCATAAAGTACACGTACATTCATTCCCAAAGGAAAATTGAGAGCAGAAGAAAAAAAAAAACAGAGCAATTGTCAATTCATGGGAAGCATATCAGCGGCATATTTATATAGATTGAGAAGATTGTGAATCAAAAAGAAAGGAATCGTTATCAACAAGATCTAAGCTCAACATTTTCATACACATGTACAGAAAAAGGGGACAAAATATTGCAACAATTAGACTACAAAATACAAAACCCTAGTTTTGTGATACACAGGGTAACTGAAATTATTGGGGCAAAATACAAAACCCTCAATCATCAAACCCTAGTTTTGTCATCCAGAGTTTACTTGAGATTCAGTTGTGAGGGTGAACTTCTAAGAGGAGTATTCAAAATCTCCACTAAGCACGCTGACACTCGTTTCCACAGTGTAACTTTCCAGCGTCGTTTGGGAGGAGAGAGGATGTGATTGACTCGAATGATTCGGAGATGATTTGGAAGAACGATGAGCAACAGAGCAATATAGAGAGAGTTTGGTATAACACTGAGAAATGAGAGATAGTGAGATAGAGGAGTAATGGGCACTTGAGCCCACGCTTTCAGGCCATTCGACCCAACATACGATACAACAATGGTAGAGACCATTAAACCACTAATCACATGATATTTAATAAAAAAAGAAAAAAATTATAATTTCAAAGTCAAAACATCAAATTATTTATGGTGAAACTTACTGTCATATTATTAGTGGTAGTACTAATTAATGCTCTCACTCATTTTTCACCCAACATATTCGAGCCCTAAAGCATTTTTGATTTGCAAAACACTTAGCATTATTTTTTATTTTGATAATGTACTTGTATCAGCCAACCCATGGGCCTCACAACATTTAATCTTAAATCAATAAATATATAGTTGTCTATTGCAATGGAAGTAACGATGTTCTCTTTTTTATTTTGCTCTCTAAGGCAAGACATGTGTATGGACAAGATTGAATATATTAAGTGGTAAGTGAGATAAATGGCTCATTCCACTCATACTCATCCAAATCTCAGTCCATTGTACAAGCTTCTTCTATAACCAAATAAAGAGGGCGATCAATTCCAGTGTTAACGAAGATGATGCAAGAACCAATTTCACTTCTAGCAACGTCAATCGTTTTCTAGGTTACTCGGTCACCAACCTTTTAATCTATCTTCGCTCCTCAAAGAACAGTTGTGTCCATCCAAGTAGGTGTTGTGTCCGACTTAGATCTCGTACCTGTGTTCACGTTGCATCGTGTCGACACAGGTACTGTGACACCCTGAGCGTTTAATTAAATATCACATAAAAATTTATAATTATATATAATTATGGGTGTATGTGATAATATATTATTAAATAAATAATAATAAGTAAATAAATCTAATTTGGCATTGGATTATCAAATATGAGATTAATTAGGATTATTATGCGGGCTCTTCTTGTAATTTGACAACGGCAGCCCAAGCCCATTGATCAGATCCGGTGGGAATATCGATCATAGATGCAAGGGTAGCCAGAGCATCAGCATATTGGTTCTTAGTTCTTAACATGTAGGTGAAGGTAACTTCGTCGAATTCTCCGATTAGATTCTCCAAATAATCTAGATAGGGAACCAGCTTTTGGTCTTTTGTTTTCCATTTCCCATTTTATCTGGCAAATGATGAGCTGGGAGTCTATACCTTGAGCCTTCTTATTTCGATAGCTAGAGCTTCTTTGAGTCCAGCGATGCAGGCCTCACACTTGCCAGCGGAGTTCGTTGGCTAGTTTTGATCACCCAGAATTCGATTTCTCATGCGAAACGGAGGTAGACGATATAAAGGTCAATCGCGGGTTAACTACTTATTGGATTTGAAAGACCCATTGATGGCTATTCTGCTCGATCTTAGGAGCTTGAGTAGACCGTTCGTTCAACTCGCCTGAAGGATACTATACTTCCTTAGATACAGAAACTCGCTTCGTAACCTTCGCTCCCTTCGCACTCGTTTACCGGTTGCTCTTCTTATTCATGATTATATCGTTCGCAGGCATTCCTAACTGACTGGCTTGGGGCCTGGGGGGTTCGATGGCAGGCTTGACCCGATTGAAGAGACGGTTGCAGTGTCGGGTGTATCATACATTGGTTGGACTTTCCGAGTTCGGCCTGGGGGTTCGAAGAAGATTAGTTCAACAGCCAAAGCGGACCAGAGTTAGTTTAGTGACCCGCGGAGATAGACCAAAGAAAGGGGCAGGAAATAAAAGGGAAAGAAAGGCTGTAAGTTATAAAAAAAGGCGCTATAAGTGCCCTTTACTATTGCTCTAATAGCTGCTCGAATCAAGATCAAGTAGAGCTGTTTGACGAACCCCAACAATTGGATTAGTATTCTTAGTAAGAAGATGGAAAGGTCTTTGATGCATGCATATTTGAAGCAAGGAAAAGGGAAGGTGGTGGAAAGGTACAGAAGGAAAGAGCAGCTAAAGCTGTATGCTGACCGTAGGAGGAGGCCTTTGGCTTTTGAGGTAGGTGATCATGTCTTTCTGAAGATATCACCTAGGCGAGGTTTGATGAGGTTTAGGAAGAGTGAGAAGTTATCCCCTCGGTTTATTGGTCCTTTTGAGATCCTTGAGGGAATTGGCGAGGTTACTTATCGGTTAGCTTTACCGCCGCAGTTGTCCGGAGTGCATGACGTGTTTCATGTGAGTATGCTTCGGAAGTATGAGCCAGATCCATCACATGTATTGGATTGGACTGATTTAGAGGTAGATGAGGATGCCTCGTATGAGGAGAGACCGTTTCGGGTCTTAGATAGGCGGGATCAGGTCCTGCGTGGCAAGACCATTCCTTTGGTGAAAGTCTTGTGGAAACATCACGGAGTGGAGGAAGCCACTTGGGAACGTGAGTTGGAAGTCCGTGAGAAATATCCGGACTTGTTTGTTGATATGTAACCTTGTATTTAGATTTTGAACTTAAGAGCTTTTATATATGTCTTAAGTTGTGAAACATTGAGAATGTTTTGGTTTATTGGAAGTATGTTTTGGGACTAGCCTCATATGGAAGTTGAATGTAGCATTATAGATGTTGAATATATTGTTGAAATTGGAAAGGAAATGCGTAATGTTGATGCATGTTGAAAGTACATATGTTGTATACATATTGTGAAATGTCTCTTGTTAAAGGGATGTGATAACCGGTAATGGGTCGAATTGTTGAATGTTAAAATGTAACATTGTTTAAAATGGAGGAAAACTTGTTTTTGAAAACTTGTGCCTAATTTCGGGACGAAATTATTTAAGGGGGGGAGGTTATAGCGATCCCGGATTTACCCTTGTTGTACAATGATCCGGACATGTGTCCGTGGATGTTGGTAGTTGATTATTATCTTGTTTACATCCTTTTTACTTCGTATTTGAGTTATAGGATGTGTTGGGCAGGTTTGTTACAGGTTGGTTGAATTTAGAATCCAAAACTAGTTGCCCAGATTTTGACCTGTCCGCTCGAGCGAGGGTTTTGGCGCTCGAGCGGGAATTGCACCCATCCAGTATTTCCTGTGCAGTGTTGGACGCTCGAGCGTGGGATTGGCCGCTCGAGCGGGGTTGTCCGCTCGAGCGGGGTTGTGTGAGTGAAGCTTGAGCGGGGAGTTGGAAGCTTGAGCGGAGACCTGGTTTTGTAAAAGTTCTGGGAGTGTGTATCCGCCGCTTGAGCGGGATTGTTAGCGCTCAAGCGGGAGTCTGTGAGTGACGCTCGAGCGGGGTGTTTGACGCTCGAGCGGGGCAACTGGGTTTAAGTTCCGTGTTTTAACTTTTCAAATCACTTTTTCACTTTCTCTTCTCTCTTCTACTTTTCCAAAAACACCATTGTTGAGCCTCTCACTCTAGAACTCTACCTTCTCTCTAGGTTTTGATCTAGTATGAGTGATTTGCTCATCTTTGGCCTTTACAAAAAAGTTATTGATCGTTGAGGGCTACATTTTAATCTGAAAATTTCAGGATTTGGAGCACGTTGGGTTTTGTCATCTTCTCTCTTGGAGCTCTGAATTTGAGGTAGGGATATCCTACTCCTTTCTATGGATTTTGTCTTTAAATTTTAGTATTTTGAAATGTTGGGTTTGGTTTGGTAATATGGTAAAAGTTTGGGGCTTTTGTGCTATTTTACAAAAGTTGGGGTTTTATTTATAATAAACCTATATGCATGTTTGGCATAGAGAAATGGAATTAATGTTGAATCATTGATGAAAATGGGTCCTAAGGGTTGTAATGTTAATTATGGAAAATGACCTAATTACATTGATTGATTAATTGGGATAATTAAATGTGAGAAATGAGGAAATGAAATGAAATTGTAGAGATTGGGAATGCATGGGGGTTAAAGGGTGTAGTTGAATTATTTATCACTCACCGAAATGAAATGTTGATTGAATATCCATTTGTGCATTTATTTTCTGTTTAGAAATAATTGCTTTGGGCTATCGGTGGAGGATAGTCGTGATTGTTGTAGACAATGCATGATGATTAGGCAAACGAAAACTAATCAATGGAATGTATCATGGAATTTGACGGTTGATAAAATATATTAACTGTATGTATTGAATGATTGTATATAGAACCAATGTGTTTGTATACGTTATGTGTAGAGAAGGAGATGGGGGATGTACTCCGCGGTTTAGGGGAAGATGGGGGATGTACCTCTAAACCGGATAGAAATGGGAGAAGATAGGGGATGAACTCCATAGATACAACTCATATGCTTGTCTAGAGAAGTGAAGATAGAGCTAATATGCTTATCTTTGTGAAGTGTGGATACAGCTTATATGCTTATCTATGAATGTGGGATATTGTTGTTATACATATCTGTTGAGAATGTGGATATAGCTTATATGCTTATCTGTGAATATGAGATATAGTTTTGATACATATCTGTTGAGATGATGATAGAGCTAAAATGCTTATCTGTTGAAAAGGGGAAAATGAAAAGTAACTTGGACTTATAGGTCGGATGACATAAAAATGTAATTTATGTGGTTGTATCAGTGTTGGCCATCTATCAATTGCTAATCTTTTAGTCATTGTTCATGGCTGGTTTAGTGTATTTCTACTAGGCTGTGGCTCACCCTATATGGGAATATCATTTTCAGGTACAGGTAGCATGTCACCTCCAAGGTCATAGCTTGGGAGGCTAGAGGCAAGCAGATTGTTGTGGTTTTAGTTCCCTTTTGATGTATTACATGTATATTCAAGCCGAGGGCTTAATGTGTAGATGAGTTAGCACTCTTTTGTTGTAACCAAGTGTTAACTTGGAAAGCTGTAAGCCTATAGGGCATTTTACTTTTGTTGTTAACATGTAATACTTTTGTAATGAAACTCTGATGAATAGAAAAATGTGGTTATTTCATATGTGAATAAATGTCTTATTTGATGGGTTTAATGTTATTATTTTGAGGGCGTTACAGAAGATGTTTAATGGAAGATGCATCAATAAAATGGAAGATGATTCCAGAACAACCAAAAAAAAATTAATTCCATCATTGAACAATCCATAGACAGCACATCACACAATTCAATAGTTACAAGAAATTGGAAAAAAAATTCACCGGATGACATATATACATAGAATATCGAAGA